AGATTTTAAGCAAAAGGTTATTTTTTAGAGGAACCCGGGAGACCATAATTCTCGGTTTGGAGGATTTGGGCTGTTTGATATTGATTGTCTTGAAGATTAAATTGAGAAAAGCCCAGTGTTAATTCAAATTGTCTAGAATCTGTTCAAGTTTGAGAAGCTTTATTACTTTGAGAATCTTGTAACAGTCTACTAATCTCTTTAGTTGGTAAAAGTTTGCTGTGATAAGAGGCTCCGTGGTGGATTTGGTATTGGGGAAATTTTACTTCATCTGATAAGGTTTTATTGTATTCTTCAGCTTCTTGGAGTTGGATTTTGAATTCTGCATCCTTGTCGCTGTTAATTTCTTCTTGTCATTTTCGTAAAGTCCTTTCTAACTCATTAGCAGTAGGTCTTTTAGCAGAATCGTTGTCTCAACACTTCTTAATTAAATCTTCTAACAATTGGGGGATTTTAATTTTAAATTGTGGCCTTTGTCCTTGGCAGATTTTTAAAGTAAGGCTTACATCATGAGCTACATCATAGTAAGGTGGTAAACCTGAAAGCACTTCACAAGCCATAATACCAAAAGAATAAACGTCACTAGCTTGGGTGTATGGTTGGCTGCTTAGGACTTCGGGAGCCATGTAAGGCAGGACCCCATAGGTTTTATCTTCTTGTTTGGCTTCATCGGCAGGTTTGCATAAACCTAGGTCAGTAATCAAACATTTAGTTTTTTCGGTATCTTTTAGGATATTTCCCGAATGGAAATCTCGGTGGACTAGGTTTTTACTATGAATATCCTTTAATCCTTGGACAATGTGAGCTAATTGGCTAAGTTTATCTTGCAAAGTTAATTCTTGGTTTTTGTTTTTTAAATAATTCCTCATATTGCCCTCTGGTATATACTGCATAACCATCAAGTAATTTCCATCGGGATGTTGAGAAAGTCCATAACAGGGCACAATATTATTAAATCAATCATCAATATCTTTGTGCTTAGCTGTTTCTTGGAGAAAGTCTGTATTGTTTTGGGAATTAGTGAGGCTTTTAAGGACTACTTCTGTCATGCCAACTCTTTTTCATTCGCCCTTCCGAAAAATTGCTAACATACTTTCCTTTTTGCTTCAAATATTAATTGGTCCTTGGTTCCATTTAGCTTTATAAACTTTCCCAAAACCACCATCGGCAATGTGTTCAATATCCGTGAATTGCTCATAAGTTATTCATTCTAATAACTTATTTGCATCGGTAGCTGCTAATTGGTATTTTTGGATGAATTGGTCTATTTCTTGGTTGCCACTGGTTCATTTATCAAAATTGTTTTGTAGTCTTTTTGAATCACAAGACTGGCATCACTTTTCTCCGGTGTTTAGTTGGTTACATTCGGAACATAAGCCATATTTTTTAAATCTTTCACTTAGTATTTGGTAGTCTGCCTGGTAATTGATAATTCACTCAGGACCAAGTTTTCTAGTATCTCGAAATCAAGCAGCAAATTTATAATCATCTAATTTAGCTCCAGCATTTATTCATTGGTCGATTACTTTTCCAATAAAGCCAAGTTTTATTCACTGAAGCTTTTGAGAAAAGTCTTTGATTCATCCATCTTCTATTGTTTCCACTTTTCCTTGGTCATTGGCAAATAAATCATAAATAGCTTTTGCTTTAGTATCTGGCCTTTTATCTGTTGAACATTTAAATTTTTTAACACTGTCAGGTAAATATTCTAAACCACTATCAATATCAGTATTGCTGATGTCTAAAGTTTCTAGGTTAGTTAAATTTTTTAAAGGTTCTAAACTACCAGTGTGATTATCAATTCATAATTGTTCTAAATTAACTAAATGGCTAAACACAGATAAATCTCTTTTGGAAAGATTAATGCTTAGTTTTTCTAACTTGACATTTTTGCTCAAATCTACATTAGTTAAAGAATTAGCTCAAGCTCAAACTTCTTTTAAATTAGGGCAACCATTCAAAACTAAACTAATTAATCGGTTGTCGGGAACATAAAGCAAGTAAAGTTTAGGCTTTTCCCCTAATTCTAATTCGGTTAAAGGAGATTTTAAATACTCTCCGGAAATCGTTATCTTTTCTAAATTAGGATATTCTGACAAGTCCAGCTTTCCACCATCGATTTGCTTAGCTTCTTCTTCGGTAAATAAACTTTTTGGATCTTTACCTTCAGTTCACATATCACGAACGACGATGAATTCTTTTATCTCTTCTTTATCTTTTTTGGTGGGAAATTTTTGATTTATATATTCTTGGAGAGTAGTCATGTTATTCCTTACCTCCTTTTTTAGTCAAATATCAGATTAATCCTCCTACAATAGCAAATACTCCAACCCCTCCTAATATTCATGGGAGATAATTAGATTTGTTGTCTCTCTCTCTCTCTCTCTCTCTCTCTCTCTCTCTCTCTACTGGTGAAGAGCTTTTAGATTGATAAGCATTTTCGGGATTTTCACTATACTTTTTTTCTAACTCTTCTTTTCTAGCTCTGTTTTGCTGATTAATCGGAGCATCGGGACCCCATTGCTTTAAAGTTCCTCTAAGATTATCTAATTCTTCTAACTCCTTTAAGTCAATATTCTTAATTCCTTTTGCTTCCATTTCTTTGTAGATGATAATTAAATCGGTTCTGGGTTGAGTTTGTGAAACTGTGCTGTCTTGATGATGATTTATTGAATAATATGGCTTACCTAAATATTTTTCACTTTCTTTTCCGTGATATCAACAGGGTTGACAACAATAGATCTTACTAACTTGTTCTAAATTTGATGTAGGTGTTTTCAAATCATATTCAATAATTTCATAATAATCACCAGTAATTTTTGGCGTAATTTCTCTTTTACATTTATTACATTGCTTTTTCATATTATTTAATTTTTATGCTGGTATTCTTGATAAGGTTTACCACTTTCCAAATGTTTAATTAATCCTTCTAAGTCTTCTCTTTGTTCAGCAGTTAAATTTTCTTCATCTAACTGTTTTCGTAGATGCTCGAGAATGTTAATTTCAAATACTATTTCACTCATGATAATTCTCTCCAAAATTTTTTTACCTTCGTGGATTATTAAGCATTCCACCTGGTCCTAGATAAACTCCCTCGTGAACCAAATAATCTTGAAACATTTTTGCAATTGCTCCTAAATTTTGGTTTAAGATTTTTAATTCTTGCTTAATCTCTTTTAACTCTTTTCCAATTTCTTTAATTTCTTTTGTTTGTCTTTCTGAATTTGTTTCTAATAAATCTTCTTCCATAATAATCATTTTTACAACTCAATCTCCTCTTCATGTTCTTCTTCATCCTCTTGCTCCTCTTCTTTCTCTTTTTCCTTCTCGGCTTCCTGTTCTTTTTCTTGTTCCTTCTCTCTTTCGGTCTCTTGCTCAGTCTCTCGTTCGTTTTCTTTTTCGGTTTCCTGTTCTTGCTTAGGTTGTTTATGTGGAGGTGGTTCTC